GACGTCGTGCCAAAGTAAATAAACTCCGGAGCACGCGATTGGTCAAATAGCCTAGGCAACAAACCTCTCATTAATATTCATTTTGAAGTCTTGCTGGTTACGTCATTCAGCTGGCTGCAGCTTTGTTTTGATTTCTACGATCGGACTACGATCGATAGCGACAAATAAACATGCCAAAAATGCTCATATTTTGTAATAAATTGCACTATTTTGGAAACGGGGGATCGTTTTCTGGTTAAGGGGGTTCGCTGGCAAAAGGGGGGTTCGCTGAAAAAGGGGGGTTCGCCCGAACCCCTAAAAACCCCCCTGGCTACGGGCCTGGGATACTTTCCTACTAAGGGGACACTTTCAGCCAAGAGACAAGGGAAAGTATACCTTTTAACATGACACCCTATTATTAATATTAAGTATTAAGAATACTCCTTTTTTGGCCCAGATGGTGCCCCCTTAATAGGAATTTTACCGTATTTTATATAATTGATAGCTTGTAACAACAAATACACCTCAAGACTGAAGAAGATATATCGATGTTAAAAACTAGCAAAATGAAAAACCAGAAAGTAAATATATCCTTATTTTACCCATCCCTTTTTATTTCTTTTTCATAACGTATGTTTTTCAAATTCATAAAAGAAATTTACAATGTATTGCGTTTCTAGTTTGCAGTGATGGCTTATAATCCAATTGGGCGAACTGTTTTCCATTATATACGTGTTCCTGTGAATGGCGAACATTTTGTTGTTGAAGATTCTGATGGAAAGCTTATTAAAAGTGAAGTGAGTATTTTTAAAAATATTTAATTTGGATAGGTCTTAAATTTGATTTGCCAATGCGAGTGACTCAGTTTCTGAACATGTTCGTGGCTTCAAAAACGTGAGAATTGTGATTGGTTGAAAAAGTTTATTTCAGTCTGCCCATAAGCAAATATGGAATATAAGATTAGGCCATTTCTTTTCGGCATCTTGGTACCCAGCGATTTATCGGTGTTTTACATGTCGCACTTATATCCGTCTCCAAATTGACTCACTAGTTGGTGGCTCTGTCCAGAATGAGAAGAAAAATAGTAAAGGACTTGTGGCAAGTCTACTTTTGTCAGTATGCTGTGCTTTATTAGCTTCCACCTTGGATAAGCCTTAGTTCTACTACCATCCACTGCTATGTTGGTAGTGCCACTTCTAGGAAGGATGGTAAGAGTTTTTTGGCAGATATATAAATATACAAATAAAAAACTTCATTTCTGTATTTGTTCCATCTCAGATAAGATAGTGTAATACATAATCGAAGTATCAAAATGCATACCCGACACGTCTTGGAAACAAATTTAGGACCATTGAATAGGTAGCTCTTTAGTTTTGTTTGAATGCTGCAAGGATGTCTCACAAACATGTAGTGCTAATAGTTGTATTCTGCAACTTTGGGAAAGCAACAGAAGGCCCTATTACTGTAGGTCTTGATGCATGATCTTTGAACTGTTAATATTGATGTATTGGTTGTTGATTGAGCATCTTACATAATGGGACTTCTGGTGTTGAGCAATATAATGCAAAATAATATTGCTGAGAGCTGCAGTGTATGTGAAAGTTAAAATCGTTAATGTGATGACCAGTGTAGTTGATGTACAGTATTTGTTTTTTCAGGTTTCAAGTGTCTCTGCAAGCACCAAAGCGGTGAGACGCAACCGAGGTAATGCAACGAATGAGCTTGTGTTCCTGGCAACCATCCCTGCCATTGGCTACAATACATACATTGTATCTAAGGCAAAATGTAAGAACCTCTTTACCTTTTTCTTGTTTCAACTTAAATCAAAGAGATATAATGGATATCCAGTCTTTTGATCTAATTTTTGGGACACATTCATGAACAATTCGGCACTTATAAACAAAGCTAGCAGAGGGAGGGCTAGAGCAAAGACGTCAGATATTAGAATGTTACGCATTTTGTGAACTTATTGTCACAAGTGACAAATAGCACAACATAGCGCAAACTGAGCGAGTGTCATTTAATGGTACGCCATAAGCAGGGCAATTTCGACCCCAGAATTTGTGCACGTCACACAGTGGCTATACACGTTTGTCATACAACTAGAAAAGGACCCTTTTGTTGAAGAGCTATGCCCCTGTTACAATGTAGTGAGTAGAGCCAATGTGTGCCCGACATTTTTGGAAACGTAAGTGTATGTTTGCGGAAGTTCTTGACACGTTCGACATACAGTACATGTTATTTGTTAGATGTTCGCAGAAGTACGCTGCGGTCGATTTTTAAATTTTGGATATGTCCAAAATTTTGGGTGTGTAAGAACAGATTTTGGCTGAGAATTTGAGCGTATTTTAGTGTATCTGGAATTCGCCAAATTTTGAGAAAAGCATTCTGTACACTAGGCATAAGACAGGCTTAACGGAAGAGTGTTTTTATCGTATTGAAACCTTATTTATGTTGAAATTGAGTTATATTCATGAATAAGTAGAGATTACTTACCGTCCCAGATGCAAGGAAATCAAATAATGATTATAAATTAATGTATTCCTATATCTGAGCATTTTTAGCAATAAATCTTTGTCTTTCTTTCAAGTTGGCCTTAGCAAGGCGAAGAAGGAAGTATTACCATCTTCAACACCTATATTCATAGAAAATGAAGTAAGTTTAGGATTTTAATTATTTTAGATTTCATTAGAATCAGGAAAATTGCTGTTTAGTGAAAATTGTCTACTCTCCAAACACAAGAAGTTCTATCATTTTGCTCATAGCCAGGGGCGGACTGAGACCCACATAATTACCGGTCCAGTAATTAAACTAGAGGCACTGACCCACAGGGAACACTTGTTTTTTTTTAAACTAAAATCAACTACTGTGTGTTTTGTTTTTTTCAGTACTTGAAGCTTACTTTTGATAGTGAGACTGGCTTATTAGACTCAATTACAGATATTAACTCTAACCTGACAACATTGACTAAGCAATCCTTCTACTGGTACAAAAGCAGTATTGAAATGCAAGCTTCTGGTGCATATATATTCCGACCTGACAAATCTGTTCCTACTGAGATCACTCAGAGCAAGACTGTTATCACTAAAATATCTAAGGTAAATTTCGTTTCTCAATTGATTTATTTTTCCAAATGTTAACTTAAATTTTTTCCAGGTTTTATATAAATTAAATATAAACTGGTAAAATTCATTCAATTTATTCAAAATTTTTAATCTGCTTCTCAATGGTTAATTTTTTTATTTGACCTATAGGGTGACCTTATTCAGGAAGTTCATCAATACTTTAGTCCATGGCTAACCCAGGTCATAAGGTTGTATAGTGGTCAGCAACATGCTGTGTTTGAGTGGACTGTGGGCCCCATTTATTTTGAGTAAGTAACTTTCAGAGAAATTATTTGTTCTTTGTATTTTATTTAATTTACCATTTTTTGATACTGATTGAGACTTTAGTGATTGACGTATTTTTTGCTCTTCTTCTGTGCATATTAATAATGCAAATGTTTCTGATAAGGTGAAGAGGCATGCCCTTTTAAGCACTTAATGATCATCAGTAATTGTTCTTTTCATTTATCAGTACCTTTTCACTAAAGAGCTTAAAATAACTTTCACTGTACTGTAGTTGGTATTTATTTGCCTTTCAAGTCTTACCCCGGTATTCTTAAAACAAACTTTAGTCATAGTTCGAGTCTAATTTCGACTAGTACTATGACTAAATGACGCGAACCTTGCCTAAAATGATACCTCCGCAGGTCGATTATCTTAGTCAGCCTAGGGTCAGGCTAAATCGCCGACTTGAAATATTTACCCTGCTAAAAACATGCTTTTTGTAACTCACGATAAAGTGAAACGTATAAAAACGATTGTATACACAGGTCTGATATATCTTCCGTGTTTTAAACAAAAGAGACATCAAGTTTAGCTTCAAAAAAGAGAAATTAACATGTTTTGCTAGCCAGATGCGATAGTTCCTTATTTGCACGGAATCCAATCGCGTTGTGGTCACGTTGCTTCACCATAACAACAACAAAGATGGAGCTGCCCTCACTCGGGCTCAACTATAATAGTTCTTCAAAGAAAGCAAATTTCTAGTGACTGTTCAAATTCTCTATTGTTATACGTTATAAGCGGCAGCTTAATATTCATCCCCGTTCCCAGATCTCTAAAATTTTGTCTGCTATTAAAATGAGCTCTTTTCAGTAGTTAGTTTGATAGTCGTTGCTTGCCAGCCGTCTTCAGCTGAACTAAAACTAGGACTTGATTTAGTTAGAACAACTACATTGTTTATGAATACAAATTTAAGTTGAAGTTGCAACTAGGACTAAATAAAGTTCTAGTTTGAAGTTCGACTAAAGTTCATTTTAAGAATACAGGCGTAAGATATCTCATAAACATAAATATATTACATAGAAATTATTTTAAAATTTTGAGAAGTGTCTTTCAGAAAATTATTACTATGCCTGAGAGCAGTGCTTAAAGGTAATAACTTCTACCTACGTGTAAATATTTTTCATTCGATACCTGCAATATGTTTTCTAAAAATGCTTTATAAGACAATAGACTTCCTCTGCCACCCACCCTTTGGATTGCTAAGGTATCAAATTTACAGCATAATCGTAAGTAAAAGTGTGAGTTTGTGGGACAACACCTTATTTGTGGGATTGCTCAGTTGTTCTTTATCCTTTCTTTATTGTCAAAAGAAGATGACAAAATACAATCAACCGGGTGGTTGGACAGGAACTCTAAAGCGTACCTAATCATTATTAGCATAACATCTTCAACCACCTGGCTTCACAGAAATACAATGTTTTTACAAACATTTTTCATATTTTCTACAAAAATATATTTGAAAACTTTTGCGTTTAACAAGAGTTATAAAGAACTTACTATACTATACAATGTCCTTAGAAAAATACAAAGGTAAAAATGAATAAATGTAAGCATTTAAAACATTTTTTTTAGTTTTTTTAAATATATAGGTAACACCAGATTTCTACTTAGCCATAGATTTCAGCACATAACCTTGTTGGTGGAACCCCAACCCAACAGTTCAAGTATTATTGCAAAGTATTATATAATTATGTGCACACAGAAATGAAGAAAGAAGTCTTGGAAATTGCTGAATAACAGAATAGTGGTGGCAATTGGTTCTGCCATAGTGATGCATAAATCTAATTAAGGGTAACAAAGGCAAAATTATGTACACAGGAACCGTTAGGTTTGATAGACACACTGGAAAGGCCCCTTGTCATTGCATCTAGCCTAGCATAGGTACTTTCTACTTGTCTATTTTGAGATACACCCATTTCTTATAAATCTTTGTTTTCTTCTTAAAGAGATGGACTTGGAAAGGAGATCATAACACGGTTTGACTCTGATATAAAATCTGGGAAGAAGTTTTACACAGATTCAAATGGAAGGGAAATTCTAGAAAGAATGTAAGATTTATATCTTAACTAATTTGATGATTTTTTATAGCCAGACTGTTGCAGTATAACAGGCTATAAATGTTCTAAAAATCTGATTTGGTTTTTCTCCCATCCAGTAAAGATCACCGTGAGAGTTGGTTATATAATGTCACAGAACCAGTTGCTGGGAACTATTACCCAGTTAACAGTCGTATGTACCTCAAGGTAAGGTTTTATGTTGCTTAGAATAGTGTTCCTTTTTGCTTCTCTATCTTGGCATTAGCATGATGTTTACTTGTCCATGTCTTATCTTATGAATCCATGTTTAGGATCATAAATAATGCTAATAAAGTCAAACCAATCAATACTGCAAGTCTACAGGACTAAAGGGTTGAAGCTATATGTAAAAGAATCGCATTAACACGATCTCAATGTGAAAACAATGTTGGATAGGATGTTGTTTTGTAGATTTATAGCCATTTACCATGGTGGTTCTTTCAAGATCACTGAAAAAAACATGATACTAATCAGTAATTTTTCTAATATCCAACACAGGATGAAAAACGACAATTGACAATATTAAGTGACAGATCACAGGGAGGAAGCAGCATGAAAGAAGGTTCCATGGAAATAATGGTAAGTACTTAGCTCCCAACTCATTACTAAATTGTGTAAAAAATGATAATCCATTCAGCTTTAATGAAGCGTAGGGATATCTTCTCATACTTCCTAAGCAAACAAATTGTCAGGTCTTCCAAACTAAAATCCATAATGATGGAACCAAACGGACGCAAATTGATGAAAAATACAACACATTTTAAGAAAAGAACTAATGATGACAAAATTTAAAAACAAGTTCTATACCATTCATTTAATTTACGCTAATGTTTTAACTGTGTGAACAATTATTTAGTATGAATATTAATATTTAATTAAAAATACAGTATAGTAATTGCTGACTTCATGTTTATAGTCTGCACTCATTTACAAGCATAGTACAGTACACCGAGTCACTTGGTGGTAGTGAGACGCAATGATGCAACTCCAGTACTGAACATGTTATACCTGCTAGAACAGGGCATGTGCTCTGCATGCGACCACATCACATTCGTACGATGGACTTAAATGACTCTACAACGAGCAACTAAAAAGGAGTGTGGGCTAAAATTATATTTATTACCTCCCAACCTTTCATTTAACAATGACAAAATGATTTACCTTATGACGACGAATGTTTGGGTTATAGCGGCTTTACAAAAATTATCATTAGTGGGGAAGAAATGCAAATGAAAGGTGTGACAAAAGAAGTAATGGTAGTGGATGAACCGCCAGATCGTCATCTTTAAAGTTAAGGAGTAACTGAGTGTGCGTGAAAGCTTTTGGAAGGAGAAAACTATGACGTGTGACAGAACCATGTTCAGTAGAATCATGATAGAAAAAAGAAAAAAAAATTGTAGGGTGGAAACACAAGTGTGCGGTGTAATTTCTTTAATTAAATAATATTTAATTATATACAATGAAATTTTGTCACTGAGAAAACAGATAATGATGTCAAACTATTGTATATACATGGAGGCTTAAGTTCATGATCAAAACTTCTTGCCAGGTTTTGGTATGTTGGTCCCTGGGTTGCTGGGCTGCGGCTTGGTGCCTAGCATCGTAAATAGGCCGTGAAGTAAAAAGGTTGCGGAACACTGAACTAGACTGTCTCTATGCTAAAAGCTGAAGATAATTTTATGTCAGCATTGAATTGCTTATTTAAAGACTGAACCAATTTATCTAATTCAAATTAGACAGTTCTTATTTCAGTTCTTTAATCAATCAATTACACTTTTTGTAATGCTTCATATATTTTTAAAATTTTATATTGACAAATTTATTTTTTGTGAAAACTATAAAAGAAACAGATTACTTAGTTAGAACACTTTGATTTCTATTAGAAATCTTTATTGACATGCTGCTTGGGGTATTTTCTTTTTTACATGTTGTTAATCACTCTGGCTCAGGTTTAATTATTAACATACCATCGTGTCATCACTGCTTAACCACTGTCTTTCATTTTTTTTATAGGTCCATCGTAGAATATTGAAAGATGATGCTCGTGGTGTCGGTGAACCACTTAATGAAACCGGTCAGTTTGGAGATGGTTTGATTATTCGTGGCAAGCACTTTGTTTTGTTATCTCCACCAAATAAGTCAGCTAGTCTTCATCGTCAATTAGCTGAACAGCTTTATATGGCACCCTCACTATCCTTTTCTGAAGCTTCTGCTGATTGGCCAAAAAAGTATAAGTTAAATGTAAGAAATATTCTACTATATTTTGAATATTTCATTTATTAAAATATAAATAAAACTGACATTGAGTTTTTATTTAATTTTTGTTGATTTGAATTGTCTTGTGATGTTTGTGTCTACATTTTATTTCTATAAATAATAATAATAATAATTTATTATTATTTTTATTATTACACTTTTTCTTCAGTGGCACATTTTTCAATAGAAGGTACAAGTCAGCGAACAAAATAATATGTTCTTTATATTTCAGGGTTCCATGTTGCAAAGTGTTCTTCCTCCAAATATTCACCTTTTAACGCTTCAATTGTGGGACAGCAGCACTGCACTTATACGTCTTGAACATCAGTTTGAATGTGCTGAAGATCCAAACTTGTCACAAAATGTTACACTTTCCCTAAAGGCAAGTGCTCTCATTCAGGGTGAAAGTCACACAAATAGTTGTACAGTTAAACCTGCCTAAGTTCACTTTGCCTAACTCAAATAATTTCTAAGTCGATCTTATTTTACACACCAAATTGTCATGTTTATTACTTAATTAACCATCTGTGTAAGTCTAATTTTATCCAAGTCTTTTCAATGCCATTTTGGATTTGACTTAGGCAAGTTCAACTGTATCCTCTTGGCAGCAAATATAATACAATTAAAAAAATGAGGCTTCAGGCAATAAGAGTAATTCAGTGTTCACATATTCAATAGGATAAAGTGAATGTGTATTGATTATATTTAAAAGATAGAAAGCACTTAGAAAAGATAGAAAACACTTTAAAAATTAGTAATTACTTCAACTTTGATTAATAATAATTATACATCCACAACACATTATACATGTATTTTATTTTATTTTATTGTCACTACAGAACATTGCATTCTGCCATGGATATTTATGCTATACAAATCCTTGATTGATTGCCATTGCTATTACTGTACTATTGCTTTTAATAAAACATCATTCAGTAATTTTATATATCTTGTTGAAAAACATGGAGGTGAACAAATGTCTCCATAATTAAATAAAGTTTTTATTATCATTATTATTTATGTGATTTTCCCCATAGAATCTCTTTGTACCGTTTGATGTTGTATCTGTGAGAGAGGTGACACTGTCAGCCAATCAGTTTGTAACAGATGCTGAAAGGTTACAATGGAAAATCGAAGACAGCGATCAACCAACACCATCCAGTAAGTTGTAGTTAATTTTTCAGAAGATGTTGCTTTATGCTCTATTTTAAGTTCGGTAACATGCTTCTTAAACTAGGTTCAGGAGTGATGACAGTGGTGCTATTGGGGAGAGCAGGGCCTGGAATGTTCTCTGATTAGAAAGTTTATTATGGTATGTAAAACCAAACGATGGTAGTCGTTATAACGAAAAAGTGTGAAATGTGTACAGGGACGGATCCAGAGATGTCCAAAAGGGGGGGGCCGAAATTTGGGCCGATCGAGACAACAATGTCCTAGGGGGTCCGGGGGCATGCCCCCGCGAAATTTTTGTGTTCTAGACGCCCGAAAATAACATTTGAGGCGTTCTGGGCTATCATTTTTTTTTCTTTCTTTTTTTCTTTTTCCCTTTTTTCCCTCCCAAAAGGGGGGGCGGGGCCGGGCGCCCCCCCCCCCCCCCTTAAATCCGCCCCTGGTGTAAACTAGAAATTCTGCTTTATTGCATCAGGACATCCAGACAATGTGATATGCTTGGAAAGTTTTCACCATGATTTTCCTTGATGAAACAGTTCTATGAAGAGTAATATGTTCCCTGACAGTGAGCAAACTGTATATTATAGTCTGTTCTGTTTCATGCCATTGGGAAACACATGGTAGAATTCCAGTGTCTTAATCCAGTATCTTAATTCTGGTTGAAATGTCACGATTTTTCTTCAGAAATATATTACAAAGCATTTTGCAAAGCAAATCTATAATTAAGCATGCCATCAGGTGCCCTTCTGTGTGTTTATATATAATATATATTTTGTTCAGAGGGTTGCTTGAGAGGCAGACCAATCACTGATCTCTATGTTGATTCTTGACCATATTAAATGTTTGTATTTTGTATTATTGTTATTTTCATCAGTTATGGTCAATAAATGTACCGTATCTGAATTAAATTGAACCAAAGCAAACACTCGCTCATTCATCATAGACTTGATTACAGAGCATTATGGGTTCCATATGATGAATTTTCTGGCTGAAATACAACATATATATAATATAGTAAATTGTTCAAATTGATTTTTATATTTTTTTTGCAGACAAGAAACCTGTGCCAGTTCCATCAAACACTTTGGATGTACTCTTGACACCTATGCAAATTAGGAGTTTCCTTGCAACTATTCGACGTCATTAGGCCAAGATAATAATTCTGTTTGAATGTCGTGTCATTTTGGAGGCTGATATATGAGAATCTGTACTTCTTGAGTATTTAAGTTATTGCATTAGATCATAAGAATGTATTTATTGGTGTTACCCTGGTACTGCATATGCATGTACAGCAATTTCCTTGTGTAATTCTGTAAATATTTTTGTTTGTACAAAGATTTATCTGCAAGAATAACCAAATCAAGATATGGATATCTCAGGAATATAATGTAGAAAAATATTGTTTTATTTATTTTATATATTTGTGTATTTATTCATTTTTTTGTTATTTATTTGTACATGTATTTATCCATGTATTTATTTTATATATCTATATATTTATATTATTTTTTTGTGTATTTCATCTAATTAATTTCAAGCAACAATGTGCTAATAAAGTTAAAAAGATAATTTCCACCCTTGCCATATTTATGATTTATCAAGAATAAAGTAATTTGGCTTTTGAAAAAAAAAGTTTTGTATTTTTTTTTTTCTTTTTTTTTTACACTAGTTCAATCGGTGGGGGGGGTTGGGTGGGTGAGGGATGGATTCCTACAGATGTAGGTTAGGGGTAGGAAAGTTTAGATGGTAGATTTTTGGAAATGACACTCTTGGACAAATTTTCAATAATATAATATTCCTTTTTTCCCAATTTTTTTTATAAATTTCAAAAAATGAGTAGCTTTATTTGAATCCTCCACTGATCTGCAGTGGTTATGGCTTTGTTAACAAATTTATTTTTATATTCTGCACACACAGTGAGGCCCATCAGCACTGACTTGGATAACTATTGATAATAAAATATTTAAAACATGCAAATATGAATTTGCGGGAGATGTGTTATTTCCGGGACATTTTTCCTGTACATATACGCAAATCGCCATCTCTTACTCTTTTTTAAAAACAATTGAAATCACATCTCTTTGACTCAGCTTACTTATTATTTCTTTCTTGAGTGGGTCATTTCCAGGAGTTGGCACAGTGATCCTGTGAATTATGTTTCTGTAGGGTCGGTCGGCTGGCCTTAAAAGTGCGGAAGGACGGCACACTGACTCTTCACGGCACCTGGTCTCGCACCCACTTCGCTAGCCTGGGTTCCAGGCCCCAATTTTAGGTTACTCACTCTTTATTGCACTTAGTGCGCGCCATACCTAATTTTTGGCGTCCCATACCCGATTTCTTTTTTTTTTCGAATTATTCCGTCTATCTCTAAATCAAAGATCTTATAAACACAAGATAGCGTTCTTCGCGATTTACGCGTAACAAATATAAGCGTCGGTCAAGGTTCAAAAGTTTCCCACTTAGCAAGAGGGCGCCATTCATGCGCTATTACCAAAGATCTTTGGCTATTACCGAAGAGAAAAAGTAATAAGTTTTGGAAGAGGGCGTCCTATCTGTTGCCATGGATCTGAGATGGTTCCTGTTCTGCTGTTCACAGGCGGTGTACTGTATGGTCAGATCAGAGCGGTCAAGGGTCAAAAGTTTCCAATTTAGCAAGAGGGCGCCATTCATGCCTTATTACAGAATTTGCACGCGTAAATCGCGGAGAACGCTATTAGGCCATGGGGTGAAAATCCTAACGTTCAGTCCCGTTCCGAAATTTTCCTAATACTTTCACTCATTATGATAATTATTATAATAATATTTAAAAGCACCAAAAAAAAGTTCGACAGTCAGAACTTCTGCAAATACGAGAAAATGACGTTTAAACCTACACCGCTGTATCGCGGTGTGTTTTCCGACGACCAGCAGCCTAGGAACGTAATAAAACGGTAATTTTCTTAAAATTGCAGAAGATATTTTTGTCGAACTTTTTATATTTGATTCAATACATATTACTTAACTATTGTAGGCCTAAATTTTTTATTATGAAAAGATCGGAACGGAATTCGTTTTCTAGACGTCTTTTGAGCTTCACCCCATGGCCTATATCTTGTGTTTATAAGATCTTTGCTCTAAATTAACTTTCTCGTTGGTGGCGCTGTCCAGAATGAGAAAAATAATTTTAAAAACATAAGAGTCTACCACTTCGCTTGCTTGCTTCACTTTCAAATGATCTTGGTATCAGAGTGAATGACACGTGGGTAGGGGGATTATTCTGGGCTGATGATGTTGTCTTATTAGCAAATAATGAGCATGAAATGACAAAGATGCTCAATCTTGCAACATTATTTGCTAAAACATGGAAATTAAATTTTAATTTCGACAAATCTAATATTCTAATTTTCGGAAAAAGAATTGATAAAGAAAAACAATGGAAGTTAGGTGATGGTTTCATTGTGGAAGCGGAGACATACAAATATCTTGGGGTTAATATATCCAGGATACTAAATGATAATGTACAATTCCAGAATGTAATTACAAAGTGCAATAGATTAATTGCTTATATTAAATCATTGATTGATAACTGTAATAACTTTAATAGGATATACTATGGGGATATTTTATGGAGAACAATTGGTCTCCCATCTATAAATTATGGTTCAGCTGTGTGGTGTTCCCTAAATAAGTCAGATATTGACAAACTTGATCAACAATTACAATTTGCAGATGGCACGCTATATTCTTAGAGCAACTAGAAATACCCCACGTGCAACTTTGTATGGTGAACTTGGCTGGCTGCCAATTAGTGTTATGCACGATATTTCGCGCATAAAATATTTTCATCGCATTATACATATGGAATCACATCGGTGGCCAAAACTTTTACTTAAGGCTTTATTACACATGGATAGTAACTTTGATAATTTCCGTTTTAAATTTCTTAAATGTGTTTCCAATAACCGAAAGGTCCACTGATTAATCTCAGATAAGAAAGTATAATACATACTCCAAGTATTGAAATACACGCCATCGTGTTGGGATTCAATATTTCGACATTAATTATGTCATCATCAGGAAAATTCCTGATGATGACATAATTAATGTCGAAATATTGAATCCCAACACGATGGCGTGTATTTCAATACTTGGAGTATGTATTATACTTTCTTATTTGTGTTTCCAATGTTTTCTCAAAATGTGAATCAGTAAATTTATTTAAATTAATATGTGATACCATTGATTATCCCATCGGAAATTGGACCAACTTCATTTTAAATAAACTTAAAGAACAAGCTTGTAGGCCTACTGATTGGAGAAGTAATCTTAATCAAAAATCTTCCCTTTCAGATTACTCAATTATTAAGGAAAGCCCTTGCTTAGAAAAATATTTACTTGAAATTACAGATTTTGAGGGTGCTTGCATAAAATTTAGAGTACGCTCCAATACTTTACCGTTACAAAAACGAATCTCAAGTTGGTCCGATAATAATGATGGCATTTGTTCTATTTGTAGCTCTTATTCAATTGAAGATATTAGACATTTTCTTTTTTCATGTCCTTCCCTCCATAACATCAGATTGGAAGAACTAGCAAAGCTTGAACATGAAGTGGTAAATACAAATAGGCTTATTTGGAACCAATTTATAAATTCAACAACCGATCAGAAGTTAATGTATGTTCTTGGCTCTTTTTCACTAAATCTTCCAAAAGAAATTGAAGAAAAATTTGACAAATTTTGTAAAAGGTATGCTACA